CGTTTTCTCGCGATTTCTCACAAACGTGAGATCTGTTATCAAAAATCGCTTCGTTAAAATCGCTTCGGAAATATCAATATCATTGCGTTACATAGCACTACGTGTTTCTGATTTTGCTAATTTACCATGGTGATTTATGATGGCTCGTTGTACGCTTAACGAAATAGTCGGCATGCTTTTTGGAAAAGTCTCAACATAATTAGAACAGAGAAGGTATCCAAATAATAATAATAATAATGTCATTCGAAATTGTATAAATGCGCAATAAATCTTACCATCATAAATGTACCAATGTTCGAATATTACAGAGAAAGATATGTAGAGAGAAAGGAGTGCTTTTCACTTGTCCCGAGAAACGTATAATTATATCGATATATAGTTATATCGATATATTTTTGAATTATACGATTGACCGGTACTTATTTTATTACTTACTGCTGAGTGAGAAGATAAGAAAGTAGGAAAAAGATGTTTATCGTAATAGTTTTTAAAATATTTCAATTTCATAATCTTAACAATGAAATAAAAGATGAAATTGAATATTGAAGCGATAGTTTCTCCCTCGTAAATTAATGAAAAATTTTAATTAATCTTTTATGGAATAAATGTATAATAGTGGGAAATGTGAGATAAAAATAATTTAATATTATTTCTTGTATTTTGTTTCGTTTTTTAAATACCTCTTTTAATGAAGATTTTAATCATTTTTCCACACTTTTCCGTTTGTATCAATCTTTTTTCTAATTTCCATCATAGCTTCATTTTATGTCTTTTGCTTTAGGCTTTCTAAATTCGGCTCCGTTTCGTTTGTTTTTTTTTCTTTTTCAATTTTCAACTTCCTTCTGTTTGCTTTTACTCATTTATTCACAAGAGAATAACGGCATTCCAATATTATTAACGTATTATTACGTATTATTATGTATTAACCGTACCGAGATACGATATATTATCGATAATATTCGCTTAAGAAGAAGTTCTTTTTGTAAATCAGACAAGAAGAACGCTAAGGATGGTATAAACCGAATATATACCGTGACTATAGCATAATTCTTATTTTGTCTTCCTTTTGTCTTTCTTTTGTCTTTATTTTGTCGTTATTTTGCCTTGCAGCGAATTGAGCAGTACTTGTATCTAAACGCAAACGTACAAAACATTTACAACCACGAAACCCAACGACAGATTGGACCAGCCACGTGCGACAGACCCAGCCAAATGGCGAACGGATATCTATTTACAAATCAGCCCACTGACGAGCGGAAACAATAGGAAAGGGAACTTTCTTGACAATTTTCCACAATTTTCCACAATTTTCCACAATTTTCCACAATTTTCCACAATTTTCCACTCCTTGAGCAAATCTCCTTCCGGCACACCTACCTACCATCAAAAAACCATTAACCAATGAAAAAAGAAACTCGAGGTGTCACCGAACAAAACACGACGAGGCATCACAGAAATGAAAAACAGAACGCTATAGTGTCGCTACGCATTTGCGACACCCGCCACCTAAATATCTTACAAATGTCGTAAAACACATGTCCGGAAGGATACTCGGTTAACGTTTCACATCTAATTGTTATACCGTTTAATTGCAAATAAATAATATATTTCAATCTACACTTGCGATCCATGAAAGTATGAAGCTAAATCAATATTAAGTTGGCGCGTGATACGTTCGTAACAATTTCAAAGATTTAATCGAGTGGACGCAACGCGACGAATAAAGCGAACATTTCATATAATATTTAAAATTACGTGCACTAGTGTCCAAATATTGATACATTTACTTTACTTCGAGCTAGCTTTTAGAAGATTTAGAAATTATAATACGCACAGCTCAGAACGAATTCGTTTTATTGTTGCAATATATTTTGGGTAATTCCTGTAAAGTTTCGCGCTGAACACAAATCCACAAGCAGAGATGTTAGAAAGCTGTATCGGTACCTATGATTATAATGTTAAACCTTTGTAGAATTTCGTTGCATTAAGCATTAATCAAAGCTGATTGTATTTGTCAAACTGCGCATTTGTGATTAGTCTGAATAGAAAGTATCAAGTGATTCTTTTTTTTTTCTCTTACGTATTATATTACTTGCTGTAGTTTAAAAACAGTGGTGAATTAATTCGGGAATTAATAAATCCCGAAGGAATTCACATTGGCACTGGACTACATCTTTTTACTAGCGTAAATGCACCGAAAACTCGGACGAAATTATCTTAACATTTGCCTCAATCTTCAAACTATTATAATTCTGTTAATCTTCTTCTAAATTTCGACATAAAAATTTGAAAAATAAATGAAGAGAAGCAAGTTTTTTTGCAGATTAAACTTACTACTTTCTAACGCTTTAACTGACTGTTATAGCATTCTTCTTTTAAACGTAGTATCGAAAAGTATAATCATTTGCTTTTATCGAGATATGAAAAAGTTAGTCCATTTTCACTTTTCTTTCCAGATGAGATATTAGATAAAATTAAGCAAAAAAAGTAAAAACTATGCGAAGATGTATAGAAATGTAAAATAGAGTAAAAATAGAGTAAAAATAGAGTAAAAATAGAGTGAAAATTGAATAGATATTTTTTTCGGTAACCTATCGTAGACAACGAACGCGAACACATAGTTATATAATAGTCAATTAGCTAAAAAGATAAAACTTCCATCCGGACGAATATGGAACAAACTTCTTTTGCATTGTAATCTCCAATCATATGTACAATAAAATGGTGTAAACATGATCGGATATGTGACTGGACACTATAACAAAATCATTATTCAATGAATTTCTATTCATGAAAAATATGCCCAAGTTGTACATTACGTATTAACCTTTACATATTAATAATAATATAAATATTCGTGTGCGAGCGCATAAATGCAAATAGCAACATTACTACGTTATACTCTTTGTATATTCTCTCTATATACTATTTTGAATAGAACAAATTGTATAATTGGCGGAAAATTTCTGAATTGGCGAGTTTTCTCCGCATTTTCGGCGTATTTATACCGGCACCACTGTGTCAGTGTAGCCGTTAAATGTTTCATATCACGTAATACATAGACGTAATAGGTAATGTCATCAAGTTTCATCAACAGCGAGTATTTTTTTTCCAACGCTTTCTACTTTGCCTACTTCTACTTTGCCAGTCGACTGGCAAACCCGACGGGGTGCGGTTTTCTAGCACGCTTCTACGAACGTTATCGCAATGATCGTTATAAATATCGTTAGGAAGAGGAGCTAGCATAGCTTTGCCATCGATGTTTTCAGATTTAACGTCAATGACCTTCTCTTGCATAGTTTTATCAACAGAGTAGAGCAACGCTCGATAACATGGAACTTTTATCGAGGTAGTAAGTAAGTATAAAGTAGGTCGATGCATCGATGTCGCGGGTCGACTTTTCCAATGTAGAGGATAGAAAAGAATTTCTCGATATAAATATAACGAAGATAATAGGAAAATTTTTGCAAATCGATGAATTTTTCTCAGAATAGGCTACACGTCAATTTAAATAAAACCATGCAGTTCTATATAAAAAACAACGGGCTTGAATTTGCCCCTTGAATTTAAGACGTTAGCGTAAAGGAGATTTGTCATTGCCAAAATATACGTAGCGTTGCTGCAACAGGATAAGTTTCATATGAAATAGGTTTTCAAATAAATTACATATACAGGATGGACCATGCAAATGTTACGCGTCATAACTTGATTATTCGTGCATTTGCAAAAAAAAATCTCGAAAGCTCTCACTACATCTGTAGTTCTTTGGACTGTTTTTAAGTGCAACTTAAAAAGCTATTAGGGTACAATGAGGGGAAAAAAGGAAAATAGCTGGTCCTCGAGATATTTAAAAAAAAATATGTTTTTCTCGAAGATATTCAAACGTTTTCCTATTACATTCTACTCTACTACTGTTACGTTGTACTCGTTGTTTTATCATTTTGCATTGTTACATTTACAAAGCATCCAAACGCCTACAGATGTTTAGATCAGAACCGACAAAACCGATTATCCTTGTCTTTCGATATTTTATTCGTAAATGCACGAATAACTGAATTACAACGATCAGTAAGACAGTTTACGTGATCCACCCTGTATATGTAGTTTGTAAGATAAAACGTTTGAGAGAGAAGAAAGTATTGCAACGCTATATCACAATAAAATTCATCTAAGCCGAAAGTTTTGATTTTGAAAGTAATGAAAGTTTCAGATATAGGGGATATATTTTTTTATGGGCCGGATAATCTTTCTAAGAAGAGCAAATAAGGCTGTCAAAGTTTCAATTTTCTTCCTTCTATCGAATATAATTTCTTTTCAGGGCTTACTTTTCTTGCAACTTTTCTTGCAACTTTTCTTGCAACTTTTCTTGCATTCTTACGATTCCCGTTCGTAGATAGGACTGCTCTATGTAGAACGCATAATGCTTTGGATGCACACTTTTACTAACGAGGCATTTACTAACAACATTCATTGAAATAAGAATTTTCTTGTAATGTAGCGTGCTAATATACTTTTCTTCCTTTATCCGCGGCAATTGCGTGGGGAACATGAAATATGTTAAAGTCAAATATGTCAACGAGCGAATTAAAATCAACGTGAATTTTCTGAGAAACTGTTACATGCTTTTGCCAATTTCGTTAATAAAATATCAAAAATTTGTTATATTTAATAATAAATTTGTACTCGTACAAGGAACTCAAAGAAATTTTGCAATCGTTACAGCTAATAGAACGTTAATACCAACGTTAATAACATTTTACATACTTTTATAAGTAACTAACTTTACTATTAAAGCGGAGTTGACAAATCTTTTAATTAATCAAAAGGAAAAATAGGTATCGTTAAGAAGGGTAAAATTTTCCTAATATCCCGTTTAAATCATCGTCTGATATCACGCGTAATGGAGCTAATGCGATGCGATTATTCGCTATGGTCTCATTCGTACCGATCGAGTCGATACTTTTGGCAAACCGGTATTCGTGTAATTAAATGGCACAAACCTGTTGCTTTGAACCTGACGAGAATCGGGTTTCGGTGATGGGCCACGACCAGCAAGATGTACATCGGTATACGATTTGAAAGTAACGAGTCTATTAACCCCTCGCAGCTCGCTTGCTATCGAAGAGACACTAAATAGAGAGAGATCAGTCGTTACACTTTCATGACTCGGCGATCGCAACATTCGTGGCGTCACTTGGAGTGCCGGGCACCGTGTATCTGTTAAGCCATTAGAACATTGCGTAGAAGCAGCCGGCGGTATTGGTGATGCCGGTTTTGCTTTGCTTTCGGACATTTTTCTATTTCTCAACGCTTTCAACTGTTGCAGCTTTTTTCATAAAATATGATAAATTTCGTATTGTTGTACTCATTATTTATCACCATTTTCAATTCAACGCGATAGTTCTTCATAATTAATGAATTCTTTAAAATTTGTAGTCATCGATGGTTGGAAGTAAATTTTTCATCAACTTGCTATTCTTAAAGATTCATTGAAATATATATCTCCATTGCTTTCGCCGTAATCAATTATTCTTCCAAGATCTGACATTGGGTAATAATTTTCAGACACTCGTCGATGTAGACAGTTTCGTCAAATTATTACAACCAGCATATTATTATATTCGAGCTATGATACTAAACAGATTCGGAACTTGAGATCTTTTCCAATGTGCATGCATTTGAACAGTAATGCAACTATACACTTGCAAATTTGATTAAGACTCACTTTCAGATTACTATAGATAAATTGATAGAAATTCAGACAGTGGATGTACAAATATGTTTCGGTACCATCAACTAAGTATCTTTCATGCAAGATGACCAATAATTACATTTCTAAGTTCCCTTTTGGACACTTTTCGATTATCCTCCGTCTAATTACGTAAAAATTACGTATTTTATTCCAGTTCAGAATTCGTTACTGCAGTCACGAGAATAATGGTACGATTAATCGATACGATGATTAATTATTTGAAGAATTTATAATTAGTCTTCTGAATCTTTCAATCATATTTATCACACGATTTCCACGTTAATGCTCTCCCCAGTGATTTATCAATTGTTCTCTTCTTCGTCAAAAATCCTGAAAAAGAATAACAATTTAAGTCTTAAAAGGAATAAATTAAATAAATTGTACATTGAAAGAAAAAATCATTATACATTATTTCAATCGTGAACCTACATTACGTATTACAAATGACTATTGCTTTCGTTTATCTGAACAATGGCCAATTTTATACGATATTTGTTATATATTTGTTGTATAATATGTTACAATGTAGCAGCAGCAGCAGTATGTTGCAATGAGGTAAACCGGCTAATGATCGGGTCGCGGACCGGGACCGCGTGGATTCCACACCAAAATTCTTTCCATATTTCTTTCTTTCCTTTTCTTTTCTCGTTTTTCTCATTTTTCTCATTTTTCTCATTTTCCGCATTTTTCGCATTTTTCGCATTTCTCATTCGCAACACGAAATATTATTTGTTTTTTTCATCAATTTTTCAAATAATCGAAAATTTCAATTATCGCCTTCGGAAACTATGTACAGTATATTTCTAAATTATGCATCAGCAGTCACGGCCTCCATATTCGTGATTGCAAGAAGGTGAGAATGATTTTCGTATGAAAACAATATATGCTTTGCATATGCAACGTTTCGGAGGCTATCGAAAACGTCTTTAATCTTTTTCATTTCTGTTTAATCGTTCTCTAAATGCCTTTAGTATATCGAATTTTTACAACACTCCATGCTTTAAAACACTACATATTGTCGCATTAGCCAATAGTAAAATATCATTTATCTTATAAAAAGATGTGGGCAATAACTAGATAGATTCCGACTTCACAATACTATTTCGCAACGGACAAAAAGCATCTATATTTCTAAAAGGAAATTAGTTTCCAAGCCTATGCTTTATACGATCTTTCTTATTAAAAAAATTATTTTCCTATTCAAATTTCATTTCGATTAAATTAAATTTCAATTTTGGCTCATACACGAAGGATAATAATGTAGATTATTGTAATAGTTTTCACGCGTTACCCTTTTATCTCGAGTAAAGTCGTTTAAGAAATTACTGTTAATACGAAGAATTTCGACAACGTCGTAGAGTGAATTAATCTTAACTTGGATTATCGTTTTCATATCTAAGAAAAAAAAAAAAGATCGATTGAACGTATCTGACATTAACGCTAATCGTATATGTCTTTTTACTGATCGTATACCTTTCTTTCGTTCTTTCTCTCCGCGTGGTTCATATAGGAAGAAATATCGAATACCTTCATACTCACAGGCTTGAGACGATATTTTCCACTTATCTCGCCTTAACGAAGTTAATCATATACATGCATACATACGACCTAGTTGAGAAGGTATTGGTAAGAACGCGATTGCATTTTCATGTATGTTCTGTCTGTATATATCTATACATGTATACATATGTATACGTATGTATATTTGGATTATCATGTTATCGGTTAAATTGGACATTGTTGGAGCAAGAATTCGGAAGCTGTTTTCTTATAATCGATTACTGTTTCGCGATAATGGGCGTGTTATGAAATATATAATCGCCGGTGGCGATTAACCTGCTGCGCATCTACACTTACTGTTTATGGAAGTGTAGAAATGTCGGGACAAGGACACCCTGTTCTGCTAAATGCCCTTCGAGATACCTGGCTGCTGTGTGACAATCTATATAAGTATGTGTTTCAACAATTCAGCAAAATCGAAAAGAGGTAAAAACGAACAAATTCAACAGAACAGCTTAATCGATGCAACATTATTTTAATATATTAATCGAATTAATCGCAATTAAAATATAAAAATTATATTATTATGAAATGATATTTTGAAGTTTATAAATTTAGTAATTTAGTATTCCTTTCTCATATTAAATAACTTTCTTTACATTTTCTTTCCATTCTAATATATAATATTTTATACTGCGAACATAAAAACAATGTCATTTTAATACTATTGTCAATATTATTACCATGAAATCTTGTTACGAATTAGTATCAGTAGGATACTACTGATTCTTATTATCATTACAATTATTACAATTACAAGTATACAACGAATTTGATATTTCGAAGAAAAAGCGTCCTATATACAATGAATAAATTTATTTCCATTATGGGGTCGCAGGGTGACATATACGACGTATGTACATTCAAACTGTTCTAATAAATGATTAATTTTTCTTCAAAGGAAAATACATTTTGTGACACAGACAGTATTCTATCCAATGGCATTGTTAATGTACCTGCTGCTCAAACGTAGAATGCCGAATATTATGCTGTAAAGCAGATGCAAGTATTTCATTCGAGGAATACACCGATAGGATAAGCTGAATAGAAGTCCTACTAATTTTCTTTAACCGCATTCCTCCTCTTTTTATCTCACGGGGAACATTAAACGAATATGCTGTTAGAAATACGACTTCACATATCAACACGATATGACAAAGTAGTTATTTTCATAACTTACGCAAGTGTTAATTAATACGCGATCAAAGATCATAAACGAAATATGTCTTATGCATATCACGTCGACACTCTGACAATTTAGATAAGCAATAGCGAAAAGTACAGTTATTTCTCATTTTTCTCTTCTTTTCAGCGTTGTGATAATCGATCTTTAGCATTTTCAAGCACTTTATTAGTAAACATTTTTTATTACAATTTGAAAATATATATAATAAAAATGATCGCAATATTACTGACATGCTGACATGATAGCTGAATGTACAGTTACATCGAATCTTTGCTAATATAATTTATTTCCACTTCGAAGGCTAATTTGAAAGGACTTTCTTCGAAGATTCATCTTGAATAAGTATGAAAGAAAGGATAGATCTGTCGCACGTATCCGAAAAACGATCAAAATTCTTATGGGAAAGGATAACCGAAAAAAAATATAAGAAAAGGCATATGAAAGGGGAAGACCAAATGAAATGATTTATATATTTATTATAATTACGATGGGATAGCATAATCCATTATATCGAACAAAAATCTTTATAACTTTCAAATAATATAATTTATTTTTAATTTATCGTTAGGTTGTCTCTTTATTCGCGAATCCAAATTATTTCGTATTTACTTACTTCCTATTCGATAATAGAATTTATTACAATTAAATCAAATACATATTTCCATTTCTTAATATTTCTCATTATTTATTTATTTATTTTTTAAAATATTTTTAATATTTACTATTTCCATCGGGCCCATGCTCTAATACGAGGTGACCGATGTGATATAATCAAATATAACTTTAACACTATGACATATTCCTTCGTTTCCATTCTTATTGGTACTTCATTTACTTTGTCGATACTATTTATTCATACTATTATTCGTGGATAGTTTTCTGTAAGTGATTATACGTATGTTTCTGTATTACAAAAAGATCTTCTAAAGTCAAATTGTTACTTGCGTTTTTAGTTCGCTACATTCTCTTCACCGTCTTACTTATCAATCATCGTCTTCACCATTATCCCATTTGCTTTCAACATTTTCCTTTCATCTTACTTTATTTTTTAATTCGCCAGCTTAAAGAAATCGCAGCAACGCTTTTTATGCGTATTATCTTATTGAAATAACAGCATTTAATTCCTTTCTTCTCTGATTACTGTTCAAAATGTACTATCTTAAATCTCTTGGCCGAAATAAATTTGATCAATGTACGATAATATTGTAAAAATATCTCAACTCGGGTAATACGTAATTATAGAAGATATACGTGTTGTGTTATGGAAAATAAATAATACGAGAATCTCAAAGAGATTTCACATGTCTCAGAGACATGTGAATTCAAAGAATTGCGGCAAGGGACTTGCTCTAACAAGGTTACAGTTTTCAAATTCGGTCGTACAATTTTTGCATTCATACCAACAGTCTTTATAAGTTTCAATTTGAAGACAACTTATTTTTCAGGAACAAAAATAGTCCCCTCAATATGTGTCATATCTCTTATTTTTTCATTACAACTCCGCTTCATTGCTGATCATTTATGTATACAAATAGATAACTTGATCCGGGAAAAGAAACGTTTAAATGAACGAAACTAAAGAGAAATAAGGGTTTCCAGCGCTGTACGATAGTACAGACTGTACAGTGTGTATATACAGTGACTCGCGAAAATATTCGGACACCAGGGTATGTCTGAATTAATCATATCGTATTGCAGATCGTATTGCACTAATAAATGGATCGTGTTCACTATTTCTTCTATATAAGATAAGACATTTATTCAAGTAAACATAGACATATGTTTTACGTAATAAATTTGTATGCATTTATCATAATAAATTAATTAGTCAATTCGACTCAAGCATCAAAA